AAAAATTTGTATGGACATGTACATATATCTATGGTCTGATAAATTGATATTTACATTGTATTAAAAAAAAATTCAATAAAATATGAAAAGTGTGTTAATATACATATAATATTAATATTAATTATTTTCAGTTTATTTATAAATAGATAAATATTTATTGTTAATTTAAATAATTTTTATGATTTTAAATTTTTCTAACTTTTACATAGACATTTTGTCGATATTTTCTTGAATTTTAAAGCTTGATATATCGACTTCGACATTTAAAATCAAATTTTCAAACTCAAATGATAAATAGTTGTGATTTATTTATTTAAATAAATTATATATATTGTGTATATATATATATATATATATATATTATGTATATATGTGCTATTTTAAGTAAATGTTAGATGGTCATTTTCTTCTCCTCATCTTGGATTTTTTTATATATATATAATTGAATTTCCTCTAATATTTCAAATTTATGCCTAATAAATTTATTAATTTTAAAACATGTCTAATTAGTTTTGTGTTTAATTAGTTGTTCACATATTCTATATTTTTCTTTTTATATCCGTGTGTCCGGGTCAGTTTGTATGCACCTCAATGACCAACTCAATTTTATATTTGACACTTTTTAAAATTTACGAAAGCATTAGGCACGTAGTTTAAAATTTAAGATTATATTATACAAGAAACTCAATTTTATATTTGATAGATCTTGTTGCTTTTAAATTTAATATAAAATTAAAAGTTTAACGACATAGACCTACTAGTAGAGGTGTTCAAAAACTCGATGACCCTAAAAATATATGGACCAACCCAATTCATATGGTTTGGATTATGTTATAAGTTTATGTGGGTTGAGTTGAGTTCAAATAAATTAAAATCAAGCAAGTTATGTTGGTTAAATTTTTCACCTAAAATAAGTTTGGTTGAACCAAACCAATTCAAATCTATTATTAATCGAAATAAAAAAGACATATATAGTTATATTTGTTTTAATTTTATTTTATTTAATAATTATATATGGATTAGTTAATCTACGGCTTTTAAAACCAACATTTTTAAGTTTTTAGTATATTTTTTCACATATAAATAAACATTGATTCGATGTTATGTAATATATAAATAAATGTTTAAGATATTAACATTTACTTTTTTTTTATAATACTTTGAATGCATGTCCCGGATAGCAAACTTTAATATTTCATGGTTGGGTTGAGTTTATATACATGGATCCTGAGATATTTGTACATTGTTTTTTTTCTTTCTTTTTGGTTAAAACTAATGAGGGGAAGTAATAAGAGCCTAAAAATTATAACCCTTATCAAATTTTTGAAATATAATTTAATGAAATTAAATATTTAGGATAAAATTTAATTTACTTTGTCGAGTTGAATGAATCAAAGTAAAAAAAAAAAAAAAATTGAAGAACAAGAGAAAAGGGTGTAAATGGCATAAAGTCTATTAGAAAGAGATGGATATGATACCAATGACCTTAACTAACACTACGCGATTCTCGGAAGGAACAAATTTTCCTCTTGAGAAATTCTCCAAATGAGCCTTTAAATTTATTTTTTTTGATTTAGACACATATTCTTTTTCTAAATTTCAAATATTTAAGTTTCCTAAATTATAACACCTTACCAATATTCATCGAGTTTGATGTTAGAATTAATTGACAAGGAGCAGCGCAAGTATATTATAAATATTTGTTGGGTTTTTAGTGTTTTTATAAGTTTTTTACTTTTAATTTTGTTTATAGTAAAATTTATATTTAAATTTCGTAAATTTTCTCTAAAATTAAAACTTCAATGGTTTAATACTTCTTATATTTAAAATGTTACCATAAATACTAAAAATAAAATCAAATGAGTCTTACCTTGACCGTTGTTCCTGCCCATAAAGGGGAAAAAGATCCTTCCTTTTATGGACATTGAAAGTATCATCTAAATTTCAATGATGTAGTTGTAAAATTTTTTTAATTTGGTTATGTTATGTAACATAAAATCAACAATAGGCCGACCAACAGATCAGAAGGAASTGGGAAGCAACCGGTAAAGAACTAGACCAGGCCGAGCAGGGCTTGGTCCCGACCCTTGCTCGAGGCCAAGCCCGAAAATCACCCACCTTTGATCGACGATTCTTTTTGGACCTTGCAACTCCGAATTAGAGCTCAATTGTAGAAGATTCTGGAATCATTCTCACAGCTATAAGTAGCAGTGCATCCTAACCCTTTATAGGGCAGGTAACATACTTGAAACTCACAATTTATCAACTTCCCTTGATAACTTAGACATCGGAGTCCGTGTGACTAAGGTCACATCCGTCTAGATCGATTCTGTTTTGCAGGTATCAGTTCTCTTATCATCGAGTTGGGTGTGTGTAAGAAGGAGAACCGGAGGGCCGAAATCCACACATCAACGATTGGCGTCGTCTGTGGGGAACGAAAAACAAGCTGAACAGCATGATGCCGGAAAGGAGTCCACGGGGTTCTGACGATGACTGCTATGCAAGGAGGAAGTTAAACTTGGATGACCCCCTGATAGGAGGACCCGAGGGCGAGACGGGTGAGTCGACAAAACCCGGAGCACCAAGAAGGGCTGCCCGAGGTACCTACGACAACAGCCCCTGAACAGCTCTAAAGTCAGTTCACAGCTTTAGAGAGAAAGGTAGAGGGCATGTTTCAACTAATGACCCAACTACTTCAACAACTAGAGCAACGAGAGGCCAGCGACGTACCCCTCGTCCGAGACCCCTGAAAGGGAAAAGGCCCAATAGAGAGTGAGACTGAAGAGTCAACGAACAGTGCAGGGAGCAAGTTGAGGCTAGGGGCAATAACAAACGACGAACTCGAATTTTCGACTCCCGAGGCCAGCAAAAGGAAAAAAAGCGACAGAGGTCACTGGTACCAGATGAAGGCTATTGGGTGGTTTGCCCTAAACTCGTAGTTTGTGTTTATGTAAAAACAAATTATATTCAATAACAAATGTATATTCAATAAAGTTTTATTCAATAAATTTATTGTTGAATTCATAGCTTTGCATTGTCCAAAATCTAATAAACTAAACATCCAAGGTTATTATCATGTAACCGGGACAATATATATATTGGGTATATACTTGATATACTGGGTATATACTTGATATATCTCTGATATACGAGGTATGTATTTGATATACCCCTGATATATAAGTGGATAATGTCCCGTGCCTAAAAGGTCTATCTGGATAAGACTGGGTACCTTATCTTAGCAACATTATGGATACGACCCACTCTGTAAATGTTACAGACGACTCGATGCAGGTTGTTTGTGTGGAGACATGCGAATGAGGGTATCCTATACAATGAGTTTGTATAAGATCGGATTGCGAAATAGCCAATCTTTAGATGTAACGTCGTTAACTAACAGATTGCTATTTCATAGGATGACCAGACAACTCATTCTCAATCCTAAGTGAGTTATGGACTCCTGCCCGTGAGGGCTCGTCCTTTGATCTGTATGGGTGAGAGTGGCTCGAGTTGCTGACTCAATATTCCTACCATTTTTTGGGGACGAGACCGAGTGGGGAGCTGGGAACATAAATTCACAAGATGGAATTCACTCATCCCCGACTTTAGGGGAGTAGATGAGTGTTCTCTTAATTACTGACTCCGGGACTTGTACAAAGGGTTTCACCCTCTCACTGGCCCGAGAGGGACTTCCGATTATTGGTCGGACCATAACCGAGTTGTTCATTAGAGGAGCAGTGATATTTAAGGAGCAAGATGTAACTCAGAGGTAAAACAGTAATTTGACACAGCTTGAGTTACGAGCACTCGTGAAGGATTGACTTGTCATTAATGGTTGTATATCCGTGGACACGAAAACATTATGCAGTGAAAAGAGTGCAACTGCGGGTCTTTAGTGAAGTGACCCGTAGTTAACAAATGTTGATTAACTCGGTCAATGAGTTTAATCGATTAATCTCGTATCGTTGGAGCTTCTAATATGTAGGTCCATTAGGTCCCCTTGCTAGCTCATAACGGGTAAAACGATGATCAAGAATAATGAAATAATTTGAAATGTTCAAATTATGTAAGAGAATATATATAATGTATATTGATGCATTATATATAAGTATATATTAATTTTGGATAGAGATTCAAAATTAATACTATACATTATGAGATAAATATTTGAATAGGATTCAAAATTAATGTGAATTGGATTCATATTAAAACTATAGGTTAAAAATTAATACAGATAAGGTGTACATTAAATCTATAGGTTATACAAGAGAGAATATGGTTTAATTAAATATGGGATATTTAATTAAATGTTAAATAATTAATTGTTAATTATTTAATATATTAATAATATCAATTTTAATTAATGTTATTAATTATTAACTCCCGGGGGAGTAGGGAGTTTAATGACATGGGGATGACTGCCCATGTCATTTGATATTTGTTTTGAATGCAGTTTTTTTCTGTTGGAAGAACACAACAACGAATACACAAGAACTCCCAGATTTCTCTCCATCTCAAGAACTATCTTCTCCAGTCCCTATAGATCGATATCGAACGCTCCCACAAGCGTGTTCCCGGTACCCAGAGGATAGCACGGAAGGTCTATTGGTTGGTGGTATTCGTTGATTAATCCAAACAAAGATCCGCTTCTGCTCCGGGATTCACATCCCATCAAGGGCAAGAGCAACAAAGATAAACAAAACGCGAAGCCCATAGACCTCGACAAAGACAAGCCGGTAGATCGACCCGAGTTGTCTGAAAAACAACAAAGTCAAAAGAAAAAGGGGTTCGATCTCGAAGAACTACTGGATCAAGTCGACTCGCCATTTACAAAATATATCATTAACAATTAACTATAATAGTATATTTTAAAAATAATTATAAATAGTAAATTTTATTATTAGTAATTAGATGTCAATAATAATAAATATATATAAAAATTAATCTTAAAATAATTATACTTAAAATATTTTACGTGAAATTATATAAAATTTAAGTTACCTTGTAATTAAAAAAAATTTATACGTGCAATACACTAATAATTTAATAATTGACATATATCTCAAACTTAAAGATCGTGAGTTCAATTCTCCACCCCACATGTTACATTAAAAAAAATAATTTAATCACTGTAATTTGATCGAACTTAATTGTTAATTTTTATTATATAACTATTTAATATTTATAATTTATAAACTCATTTGTTTATCATGAATTTATAAACAACCCTATTAAACCTAAATCGATTCATCTCTCTGCCTCTAGCCGCCGCCGCCGCCTCTACGCTCGCCATCGATATTATCTCTCAGCCTCTGCTCTCGCCGTCGCCGCCTGTTGGGTTTTTTTCTTCCGGTCGACCCGGATTTGGACAAAGCCGGACCGAACCGACCGTGTACACTCCTTTTTCGTTCCTCTCGTTTTGCAGCAGCAACAGAAGAAGCCCTAAAGGCTGAAATCTAGAATTCGCCGACTTCATTTTAGCAGCTCCTCTTGCTCCTTCTCTTGCGTTGCGCCGACGACGACGCCGTCGCCTCATCCTCCCTCTTTCAGTATCAGGTTAGTAATCTATACATTCAATGGCAGTTCTCAACGTAATTATCCTCAAGAAGTCTCTGATTTAGGAACGAAAAAAAAATAAAAATCCTGATCTCCTCTGCCTCTTTGCTCTTCTATTGTCGCTCCTTTAGGCACTGCTGCTCGTTGCATCGCGGCTGTCTCGATAGTGGTAAGTGATCTTCGCTACCTCTCGCAGTATTTATTGAAATTTGTCGAGGCTCGAGACATTTTGGATGAAAGTGAATACTTGATGATAAAAGGGAAGGAGGAACCTACGGATCTCATGTCTGGACTGAAAGGGTTTTTTGTTTTTATTTTGTATTGGTGGTGGGTAGCTCAAATTTTAACATGGGTTGCTGAAAATTGCGTTAGGAGAGCAGTCAAGCTTTATATAAATCTATCAAATTTGTGGTTGGGTCCTTACCTTTTGTACTCTATGTAGAATTTCCTTTCTTTTTGTTCAAATTTACACAGATAGGCAGCATAGCCAATATACAGTAAATTAACAGGTAACAGAAGGCAACCACACACGAAAGCTGATGCTACATTGTTTTCACTTTTCAGTCACTAAATTAATTGATTTGTTGTGCATCAAGCATTTACTGGTAATAATGCTTCCCATATGTTGTAGTTCAAGCTTCTCTTATCAGAATTGGCCGTCTCATCATAAAATCTGTAAAGATAAATTAAATTGGAAAGTTTGCATGCTTGATATGTGACTATAAATTAAATTGGATTTATTGTTTTAAGCAACCAATTACTAGATTTTCTTAATTGGTATGATTCCAGGTGTTGTTCGAATTAGAACTTATTGGATTTTTTTTTAATGTGTTGCAGATGTCAGAAAAAAAACCTGTCATTGGCCTCTCATGGGAGCCAAAGCTGGCCACCTCATCATCGGGGATCAAAACTAAGACTTGTGACAAATCTCACATTCAACCAGAAAGTAGTCTTGTTTGGAAAACTAATACGGAGCTTGTGGATGGTTTGTTTGTTCCACCAAACAACCCTAAAAAGTTGAACAAGTTGCTGAGAAAGCAAGTCAGCGACACAGCTGGGAGGAGTTGGTATATGCCTTTTTTCCATGAAATTTTAATATTTTCAGTTTTACTACTGATTCCTCATACAAGAACAAAATGGTTTTAATTTATTCAAGTATCGATTAACATGCCTTTTTAACTTTTTTGGTGGTGTGGTGCCTTGCTAGCACCACACCAGCAGTTTACTAACCATTGTAGTTGAAGTTCTAATACGTGTACCCTTGTTATTGTAACTAGGTTTGACATGCCGGCACAAACTATGACCCCTGAATTGGAAAAAGATTTGCGTTTGCTGAAGGTGAGACTGCCTTTGATTTACCAACCACTGTACTCATCAGTTTTCTATTCCACATATTTTGGACTGTTATATAGAAACTGGTACCTTTCGCTGTGTATTGAGAGATGTAATCGTGCTAAATTTTTCTGCAAACGTGAGATGGGCAGCACGTGCATGTTCTTTGAATATCTTTGGTTGCAGATCTTCATGAATCTCTATTCTCCTAGATGGCTAGAACTAGTATTACGAATATATATAATTGTTAGATGAATGTAATGTAACAGCCAATTAGAATGCATATATCTATACATTTGATCGGTTAGAGTCATATAGAGAGAGATAATAAAAAAATAAAATAATACATCTTAACGTCCTTCTGTTTTGGATTTCTCGCCGCCCTCTTGTATTCTTTCCTTTGCTCTTTTCATTAAAAGAGATATACAATTTTTATGCCACACGGAACATATGTATCATAGCAGTTCTCGGTTTATTAGTTCTGTATTCTAAGTTGTTGAACCCATGCATTGTGGGGTTCTTGAACTCGATCTTGGCCATCGGAGTGCATATTGGGAGTCTTGAGTAGACTTTTTTTTTCATCATTGAATTTGGGATCATGAAATTCGTAAAAAAAGAATCTTATATATTCAATTGATAAGATAATTTTTACAGGGTGTAATTGAATTGAATGGTTGTTATCGTCTATTCCCTTTGTAAAGGACCTGTTTGATTGACTTTCCTCTCTATTTCTCTTGATGATTATAGCTGAGGAGTGTCATTGATCCCAAGAGACACTACAAGAAAGGTGATTCAAAATCAAAAACACTTCCCAAATATTTCCAGGCAAGGTTTTGGTTTCTCACAAATATTTCTATTGTAACATAATTTGTAGTGTTAATATTTGCTCTAGATTTATTGTAGCGTTTTAAATATTTATCAGGTGGGAACTGTGGTAGAGTCTTCTTTGGACTTCTTCTCGGGTAGATTAACCAAGAAGGAGAGGAAAGCAACGCTTGCAGATGAGCTGCTTTCCGACCAGGCCCTCACCCAGTACAGGTTTGACTTATTGTTTTCGACACATGTTAAAAAGTTCAAATTATAATTGTAAAACGATGTGCATATTTTAGGAAGATTTATTTTGCCATTTTTGTGGCAGTAATTTGGACCATCAAACCAGATATAAATCATAGGATAATGACCCCTGAACTTTGATTCATTCTATAATTTTGAAGATTCTTTTGTTTCAAGTTGGAGTATATTTCTTGTGCATTATCTACATTACCTATCAAGCAGTTTGTTCTACACTACACTACTTATATCCTTCGAAAAACCTCTTGCAGAAAACGAAAAGTTCGAGAAATTGAAGAACTGAATCGACCTGCTGGAAACGATAAGTGGAAAATAAGGGGTCGTCATTCACGGAAACGGGCAAAGGAAAGGAGGAATTAGTGAAGTTGCCTCAAATTTTTGACCAGTAAACCAGATAAACACACTGGATCAAGTAAGTGAGGGCTTCCAACTTGGTTTATTGTGTAGGTTCACCAGAAGCTCTTATATAAATGTTGTATACATCTGGTAGATACTCTGTGGGGTGGGCTGCAAAGAACTATAAGTTAAAAACTTTTTTTGGTTATTGATTTAGTTGTAATAGGAGTAGAAATGCTCTTCAGGTTATTTTATTCAACATGTAACTGATGAAATGTTTATTTGTAACTGAGGAAAACAACAAATTCTTGTCCATCTGGGACTCACTTTTCTTTTTGGAAGTTGATCAACAATAGGTATTAGACATAATTGAAAATTCAGAGAATTATTGGGAACTCTCTAAAGTGTATAGACCGGAAGGACCCATGAATTTTTTTTAAGCTCAACAGGGAGTAGGGGGAGGATACGACTAACTTTTAACGATAATACCATTGCCCCAAGGGAGTGTCTAGTTGGCAAGGACTTGTGGTTTTTTGGTCAAACTGATTTAGAGGTCTCAAGTTAGAACATTCCGATGAGCTTAATACAAAAAGATTTTGATGTCTCTTGTGTTCGGATCTTGGGGGTGGGTGTGGGTGTCCTTGAATATAGGAGAGCTTCTCCCAATTATTAAAAAAAATACCACAACCAATTTATTTTATTTAACCCTTAGTTTTTATTATTATTATTATTATTACTTTTTGATATCAGTGTGTCTAGACTAGCTTCCAACTACATTTGGTTCTTAGGATATTAAATCCTAGGTAGGTGGCCACCATGGTTTGAACCCATTCTCTCTAAGTCATTTATTATTTAAATTGGCCTCATCCATCTCATGATGGTTTAACCTTAGTTTTTCTAAACATGGGATACGAAGGGTGGAATAGTTACATTTTTTTATTATTATTATTATTTCTACTTTATGGAAATGTTTATTAATGTGAATGTCAATTGTCTATAAAAGTGGGCCATGGGCTAAAACCACATCTCTACCTTAATGACTATGTTGATTATATGGCCAAAAATATTAATGTAACCTTACATGTTAAATACCAAAATGTCCTTGAAATGATAGGTCACGAGGCACTTTAATATCATTTCAAAAGTACTCGATCCCTTACCACTATATTGTTTATATGGCCAAAAATATTAATGTAACCTTACATGTTAAACACCAAACTCTCCTTGAAATGGTAGGTCATAAGGCATCCTAATATCATCTCATCTCAAAAGTACTCCCTTACCACTATATTGTTTATATGGCCAAAAATATTAATGTAACCTTACATGTTAAACACCAAACTCTCCTTGAAATGGTAGGTCATAAGGCATCCTAATATCATCTCATCTCAAAAGTACTCGATCCCTTACCCACTGAAATTGTTGAACTCAAAAAAAAAAAAAGACTCCCTGCAATCATGGAAAAATAATAAAATTTTGCATTGATATTTTACCAAAAAGGAGGGGCGAAAATTAAATTTCAAGAACTTCCAAATCATGTTGACATCTTTTTTTTTTTTTAATACAACATGTGGGGGTGGGGATTTGAACTCATGACCTTCTGGTCAGAGATAGGTGCCTTAACCATGAGCTATGTTCGATTTGGCTCATTTTTTCCTTTTGCAATAGTAAAAACAATTTTATAGAAACTGCAAGGTTGTTTGGTAATTATCCTAAAAAAATAACATAGATATTTTATTTTATCTTTAAAATTCGTTTTAAGGACAATTTTAAAAATAAAGACTATTTTGCATTTTAAAATATTTTTCCACTACAAACATTGTTGGCCAACATAATGAGAATTCACATAAAAACAACTATATCAGGTTTGCAAAGTACATTAAAAATGAGAATTAAACGTGCCCAGAAAGCTGAGTACAAGCCCAAGACAATAGACCTTTAAGTTTAAATTCAATGGTTGATTTGAGTAGCTTAAATAGTGTCAATCTCCTTAGATTTAAATTAATAGACCTTTAGGTTTAAATTTAATCGCCACCATCAGCTTAACTCAACGGTTAAGGAACCTTGCTCCTTTCCGAGAGGTCGGATGTTCAATCTCTCATCTCCAAATTAGTTGTACTAAAAAAAGAAAGCGTCGTTCTCCTTAAGTTTAAATTAGTATTCTAAAGAAAAAAAAGGTGTCGATGTATTACTAATAACCTCTTTTATATATAAAGAGAAAATTTCAATTCCCTCAAACTTGAAATCAATTTTTACCCTTATAATGTAAATTTTGTTGAATTGAACTTTAGACTTATAAATGCTATAATTTCATATATATTACCAACACTTATCTAAAGTTAGGGTTTAATTCGATGAAAGTGAAAGTCTATCATGTAAATCGATATAAATTGTCAAATTTTACGAGTAAATAATGATTGTTAACCTGAACATAACTCAACTGGTTAAGACATAATTTCGACAAAAATGTTGAAGGTTTAAATTCTTACCGCCGCATATTATTGAACTAAAAAAAGAGTGAAGAATGATTTTTTTCCCAAATTTAATTATTCACTAGTAAATGACATGCAACATGTTAAAATGATATGAAGCATTTAAGGAGTACATATTCACGCATTAATGAGAGTTCATTCCGCTCACTTTAGATGAAGAAGAACTTCAAGATGAAGTTGCATTGAATGTAGTGTAGATCTACCGTGAACTCAAGTTGCATTAAATGCAACTCAAACTTCACTAAAGATCAGTAAAGTATTAAAAATTAATTGAGCACCTGTATACCAAGCAAAAAGAAAAAGGAAAAAAAAAGTATACAAGATAATATCTAATCTGTGAGGTAATTATTAATTTGGTCGTTAATTTTCTAAAATTATCAATTTTATTTTTAATGTATTAAAAGTTATCAATTAATTGATTCCATGGACAAAAAGTTAATATATCATTAAATTATTGTCATATTGATATATTTAGACATGTGAACATGTTATTCGATCCTACATGATACATAAAGTTCAACATACTCATTATAAAAAATTATTATTCTGGGACGTGGAAGTAACATATTTATGTCTAAATATGAATAGTAATTTAATAATAAAACAATTTTTTGCTAATAAAATTTAACATATTTATTTTTCACCTAAATAACTAATTCAAAAATTTTAATACATTAAAAATAAAATTTAAAGACCAAAAGAATTACCTCAAATATTAGGGGTTAAAAACACTTTTGATCCATGTAATTTATTTGAATTAACAATTTAATCATTAAAATTTAGTTAGTAATGATTTAGTCCGTGTATTTTCAAATGTATAACAATTTGATCTTTATCGTAATTTTATTTTGTTAAGATTTAACCAAATTTCTAGATCAAATTGATAAGAGACAAAGATTGAATTGTTAATAATGAATGTCAATTTGAATATAGTTCAATTAATTAATACACATCTAATAGTAATTTGTTTAAAATAAAATAACAACTAATTTTAAAAAAATAAAATAATTACTATTAAAAAATCCTATATATTTTTAAATTTTAGAATGAGTAGTTATTTTATTTTGGAATAGAAGATAAATTTTAATAAATAACATTTATTTAAATTTGTTTGAAAGAGGACAATTTGCAATATAAAATTCTATTAAATAAAAAAGAGAAAAAAAGAAGTGATATAAAATCCAATATCTCTAAATTAAAAAATTAGTGTACAATGACTGTAGTAAAGTAATAATTATACGTAATTTTGGTATATGTTGTCTCTAAAAACGACATGCCAGAATGACGAAAAGAGACATATGGCGCCAGCAAGATGTCATGCGAAGTGGCATAGATCGCCTTCAATTTTATAAACATTATTCTTGAAAATGATTTGATAGGTGATATATATTTGGAATAAAATATTATTTAAAAAAAGATTGGTCCTGAATTAAAAGGAAAAAGAAAACATATACATATTTTAAATTCAAGGAAAAAACGTTACAAGTTGTGAAAGGTTTTTGTCGTGTAGTGATGGAAGTGTGGAATTATGACGTATATATTAGCAACCAACAAAACAAACCATTCAGTCCATCGCTGTCTGTTCCTCGCGATTTCCACGAGAGAAATGAAATGCTTCCATCGTCTCTCGTTTGCGTGCATCCTCTGAATTCTGATCTCCATCAATCTCCCAAGTTTCTCCCTATAAGACGCAATCTCCCGCCGACGCCATAGCTCGAGCTTCCACGTCTCTGCGCTGCAAAACCTTCGTCTTCGTCTTCTTGCTTGTGTCTGTTTCACGATGGATTGTTCTGCTGTTGAGTCGTTTTTACTGGAATTCAGAGCCTCTGCCAATGCTTTCCTCTCCAACTACGAGCCGCTGGCCCTCGTTCTTGGTCCTCTTCTGGCTCTACTCTTGGCTCGGTTGCTTCAGTCGTTTATGGATCTCGTTTACGAGAGAGGGCTCAAAGCCATCTTCTTATCATTCTTCATGGCCACGATTAAGTATGATTTCTTACTGCTGGAGCTCTTTTGGTTGCTAGTGCCGATTTGGTTTTATTGGTTCTTTAATTGTGTTGGTGAATGGTGATAACAGGTTAATTCCAGGGGTGAAACGTCGCATTGATTCCGAGAAGCAGAAGGTTTGTTTTGATTGTTATGTTGTACGCTGCTAGGCGTTACTCGTTTTGGTGATGGTGTTTTGTTGAACAAGCAGGTTGTGGATAAATTACAAGCCAGTGGTAAATCTGGAAGAGAAGGTTGGAGGACTGAGTTGCCGAGGGAAGGCTTGGGAGCTGAAGTCATAGACAAAATGAAAAATGAGAAACAAAAGGATGTGGTTTGGCAAGGCAAATGCTCGGGTACAGTGTATGTTTGAAAATGTTTGCATAGCCATAGTTATCCATTCAATAAATACTTAAATTAGAATGTAATCACTTTATAATTGATAATTCCTTTTTATTCTTTTAATAATTTTATTTATCGTCCACAAGATTTACGAGTATTGTTAATGTTTGGCCAGCTACATTGGAGGAACTGAATCTGAAGGTCATTTTTCTCTCATAAATGAGGCATGTTCAATGTTAGTAAGTTCTGGCTGATCTATTACTTTTATGTTTCATCCAAAGTCTCCATTCAAATGCTAAATTCACTTAGCTATCATGTCCAATGAAGAATGTTGGGTCTTGTGTGCCCATGAACTCTTTCTGAAAATGTCTCCATGCTACTGGCTCTGTTGAAAGAGGAACAACTAGCTTTCAACAATTTCAACGTTACATGGCAGAGAGAAAATATTTGCAGCGCAAAGATATAATTATGCTCTAACTTAATGGTTGAAGCTTTTGAGATTAATATTAATTTATAATGATGTTAGAGCTACACATGTTGAGTTCAAATCCCTCAATGTAATTTCCTTTAATTCTCCTTCTTCTCATTTTTTTTAAACATCATCAGGGTTATTGATATCCTATTGAACTGGAGTTTGCATTATTGTGTTCTTATTCTCCTTTAAGGGAGAGCCTCATATCAGCAACAAATATAACTCCTAGAGAATCATAACCCATTTCATAGATCTTTAACACTTCACCTTGGGCTGTTTTGGATCATTTTTTTCAGGTTTGCACATACAAATCCTTTGCATTTGGATGTATTTAAAAGTGTGGCGCGCTTCGAAGCAGAAGTGGTTGCCATGACTGCTGCACTTCTTGGCAGTAAAGTGGAGGCTTCTGGAGGACAGATATGCGGAAACATGACGTCAGGAGGAACTGAAAGCATACTATTGGCTGTGAAATCAACTCGTGACTATATGAAATCCAAGAAGGGAATTAAAAAACCTGAAATGTACACCCCTGCTGTTTCTCATAGGTGTTATATGTTCTAAACGTATCTTGTTGACCTTAAATTTATAGTAGTTTTCCTTTAATGTTCAGGATAATACCCGAGTCTGCACATTCAGCATACGATAAGGCTGCTCAATATTTCAATATCAAGCTGTGGCRTGTCCCTGTAAACAAAGAATTCAAAGCAGATGTTAAAGCTATTAGAAAATTTATCAACGGGAACACTATCTTGGTATCCATATATTTTTATTCTCTTCTTAGACTTGTATAGTGGTATTGACGAAAACTTTCTTTTTCTACAATTTTTTTTTTTTGCATCTTTTTATCCCAAATTTTGTTTATACTGCCCCTTTTTTCTTTTATATATGATTTTCAAGGAAACTTCTTTTTCTAGTTCCATCCATAAGAAGCAAAGTCCAATACTGTTCCTTTAGCTTGTTCAGCAAATGCTGCTTCATCCTATTATAGTATTTATATTTGTATGTTACCTGTTTACTTGTGTCTTTTCTCTTATAAACTTCATATTGCAGATTGTTGGATCTGCGCCTGGGTTTCCTCATGGAATCATCGATCCGATTGTTGTATGTTCTTATTGTCTTGTACCTTTTAGTTGTTTTCTACATGGTGGACAAAGACCATTGATCTTAACTTCCTTCTGTGGCATTTCTGAAGTAACTTCTGATCAGGAGAACCTTGCAATATATTTGCAGGAACTTGGGGAATTAGCTTCTAGCTCTGGGATTTGTCTGCATGTTGACTTTTGTCTTGGCGGCTTTGTGTTACCATTTGCTCGTAAGCTTGGGTAAGGCTGTTTGGGCTTTATCTGAACAAAATTTTTACTTTGTGCTAAAAAACCATGGAAAATTTGGAAGTTATTTTTAATTAGTTGTAAGTACTTTTTCTTATGAAAAAACTTAGTTGTAAGTACTTTTGGAACACAAAAAATACTTCTAAAAGCACCAATATGTTTGGTAGTACTTCTAACATGGGAAAAAGCAGTTAGCAGTTTTGAAGTACTTCTGAATGCATACTTACAGCCTACAAGAGTTAGGATATCAACCTTACTATGGAAGAACATAACAATATAGTCCCCCCATATATGTGGGATTATACTACCTAGTTCAGCACATCAAACATGCAGTGATTAGTTATTATGAAGAATTTGTATATAGCGATAGATGAGTATTGCAAGTATTATATATTAGGGTGTTTTCCTGGCAACTTGTGACATTGAAAATTTCTTATTACTACTTTTTTTCAGGTACCCAATTCCACCTTGTGATTTCTCAGTTAAAGGAGTGACATCAATATCTGTGGATGTACATAAATATGGATTGGCCCCCAAAGGAACAAGCGTAGTTTTGTACAGAAATCATGACATTAGAAAGGTAATTTCTTTTACTGAACCACTTAGACTTTTGTTTAGATTGGAATAGTTGGTAGTGGACGATTAATATCGCAATGTGTCTCCTAGATCTAGTCTGCTGAAGTATTTGGTTTCTCAATGCTCGTATGATTGCTGAAGTAGGCGGTGGTTGAAAAATTGTGCTTCCTCCCTCCCTTGATGGAACAGAAAAGGAAGTAATTAAGTAGACTCGTTGTCATATTTAGTCAAATGAAAAATTTTACTCTTTCCAGACTTTTCCATAAATTTTCAATATAGTCTTTGAAAATTCTCCTCTAAGCAGAGAATATATATCCGTACAGGGCCAACTTTGCATATTCCCTAGACTCCTTTGAAACTCTTCTGAGTTTTACCAAAGATATCCCATTGTAGGATTAAAGACACATCCATCGATTGAACTCTTTCAATCCAAACTCTTGAATGAGCCTATACCAGGAAGTCGTTTTTTTTATGAAGAAACAATTTCATTGATGTGTGAAATTACAAAAGCCCATGATGGATCTACAAAAGGCACTTCCAATTAGTCAAGAGGGAAGTGTAGCTATAGCAATGAAAAATAGGCGATTTTTTACACCAAGTGAGAACTTTATAAACTATAGCATCAAAGAACCTCTCAAAAGGTTGCAGTTTATCGTTGAAAGTCCTCCGATTTCTTTCTCCCCACAAAGTCCAAAGAAAAACTTGCACAAAGTTCAACCAAAGATTTTCCTTTACGTTCTTGAATGGGTGACCGACAAGGGTGGCCTCAAGGAGCACATGGGGATCATTTGGAAGAGCTGTGGTCCATCCAGAAGTGTTGAGAATGGTCCTCCAAAATTCAGTAGCAAAGGAGCAGGTGGTAAAGAGGTGTTGTTGCGTTTCCAAGCTAGCCTTGCTAATAGTGCATCATTGGGGAGAAATAACCATGTAGGGGAGCCTCCTTTGGAGCTTGTCATTAGTGTTGATGGTGCGGTGGCTAAGTTCCCATAGAAAAAAACTCACTTTTTTTTTGGGCAAAGGTCCTTCCAGATTGCTTTGTATACCAGGAAGTCGTTTCATCTTTCCATTTATTCATTTTGGTATTTTAATCACTTTCAAGTTATTTTCTTAAAAATTGAAATTTTTATCTATCAAGGCCTCACGTGACTTGTGTAATTAAATAAGCCTTGAACCAAGTCTTTTATTTGCCACTTGCCAGAGAATTTGTTAGCAATTAATTCAGGACGATATTTCTTATTTTTAATAAATTTCTCTACTCTTAGCTTCATCCACGTATTTGTAACTTTCTTGTCTTCTCTAAATAAGAAGCTAGAGGGTCTGATTTGAAATACAGAATAAGAGGGATCGCTGTTCACCTCCATGTTATGGCGGTATGCTTTCTACTTTGGTTTTTAGGCTAAAAATGTGACTAAGCTTTAAGGATAAGTTTAAAAAACGTGAGCAAGGATGGCAATATTATATTTCCTGAATAATATTTTTTTGGTTATAATTGTTTGAGTTTGGTATGCGAGTCTGCACTATTGTTTTTCCCATTATAAATGATTGTGGAAACTAGTGGATTTTGTATCAAGATGTTTTAAAGTTAAATAGCTAAGAACTAGATATTGAAATGGTTGAATCTCAAAAGTTTATTGGGTAAAATCAAGCTCCCTTCTAAAACCCCATCTTTTCTATCACTAATACTCAAGTTGACATTATTTCTAATTTCATTTGTCTCTATGGTTTTTGGCCGGTTGGTGTTCTGGCTGTTCCTGCTTTGCTTGATTTCAACAGCATCAATTTGTTGCTGGTAAGTTTACTTATCCTTGTTACTGGAAAATTTGACTTTTCATGTGCTTAAATCAAGCTTTTAAATATTATAAGTTACTAATGTCGTAGCTATTGGGCTCCATGCTTGTCAACAAAGTTTACTTTATTTTGGGAAGTATTTACGGAACTATGAGATAAATTATTTATTTATGTTTTATATGTTTCATAAGTGGGAATATTTATGGAGACTTCTACAGGCTTATGCTAATACAATTGCGTACTTATTGTTTTCATGGGGGCAAAGTGCTTATACTGAAAAAAAAAAAAGCTCCCCCCCTTCCATTTGTTTTGGTCTTGAATTTACAAAATTACATTTCATTTTTTTTATAAGAAATAATTTCATTGATAATATGAAATAATAAAAGGGGGAGAGAAATCCATTCAAGGGAGTTACAAAAACCTTGTCCAATTGGATAAAAGATTAGAAAATGTATAATGACGAAAAATGGGTGCATTTACACCATGAGACATGTAAGACTTATATCATCAAAACAACTAACGAGAGAGAGAGAGAAAAAGAAAGCTGTACCAAAATTCATCCGAAGGAGCTTCCTTGACATTTCCTTTTTCAATTATTGTTTTTGTAGTAAGTGAATGGTCTGGTGGGCTTTACGTCTCTCCAACAATAGCTGGAAGCAGGCCTGGTGGTTTGATTGCTGGTGCTTGGGCAGCAATGATGTCTTTGGGAGAAGAAGGTATCTAAGAATATGCAACGATACTCATTGTTGATCTGGTAGTTGTGAAGTACTTGGCTTTGGGCTCACTGTGGATCAATTGCTTTCCATAGGATATTTGCAGAACACAAAAGAGATTATGGAAGTGTCAAAGAGGATACATAAAGGGTATCTTCTGTTCCTATATGCACCCTATTAATCACATTTAGGTTAGGAGGAAGGATTGCAAGGTGTTTTCTCTTTCAAAAACCATTACTTTTTGTGCAGGATAAACGAAATTCCCGAGTTATTTGTCGTTGGAAAGCCAGACATGACAATTATAGCATTTGGGTCAACGGTTATTGACATTTTTGAAGTCAATGACATTATGTCATCAAAAGGCTGGCATTTGAATGCTTTGCAAAAACCTAGTAGGTGAGCTTTCTCTTAGAGCATAAAGACACTCATATTTGCATCACATGTAGAATGTTGCATATTCTTCTCTTTTATTCTTTTGCATTCAAAATGTGGCTTTTAGACCGATCTGAACATAGCTCAAGCAGTTAAGACATACTTAACGTTGTACCTCCATTCATACGTTTGAACTACCACTTCTTTATTTGTGATCAATATTCAAAAAACACGTCTCAATGACACTTGCCGCTGGGAAATGGTAGATTGGTTTTGAAAGTTTTCGGTATTTACTCAAATTACTCCCCCATCACAGATTCTTCCATTTCCCACTAAGTTACGCACATTTTAGATATGAAACTCAAAAGCTTTAGGGTAAAAGTTGGGGACAACTTCTATTTTCGCATATCATCAGCTTTTATAAGTTTCCAGTTCACTCAAGAATTTTAACATTCCCTATAGCTTATAATCCCTCATACCGTTTCAGCGTTCATATCTGCGTAACGCTGCAACACATATTGATAGTCAACGACTTTCTCCGGGATTTGCAAGAATCTGTCAACACTGTAAGCTTATTTGCAAGATGTTGTCAGTCCATGAGAGGCAATTTCACCATATTTGTCTTATGGACATTTTTATCTGCAATTTAAATGTTTCAGGTCAAAGAAAATCCAGGTCCCATTAATGGAGGGCTGGCTCCAATATATGGCGCTGCAGAGAGAATGCCAGACAGAGATATGGTTCAGGAGTTGCTCATAAGTTACATGGATGGAACTTGCTAGAAGAGGCAGTGCTGTTCACAATTGGTTTGTTTCATTTAAATTTTATTTTATACAGTATCATTCACATAAGTTACAAATTGAAATTATGAAAAGAATAAACTATATTCTCCAAGGGTTACATCATAGGTTTAGTTGTCTTGTTGCTGTAATATGTTGAATTATTGGCTCATTTTTAATGTCTTGTAAACATGTGTTTAACACGCTCAAATCACAGATGTGATAAAAACTTGGATGTTTATTTTAATTTTTCTTAGAGTTAAACAGGGGGACGGAGAGAACTTGAATCTCTAACTTTTTGGTTGAAGATATATAGGGATGGTTAAAAAACTATGTGCCCTCAACCTGATCGGATTGAAAATCTCTAGTTTAATCGAGTTTAATCGAGTATTGGGATCAAACTGGAGAGGTAATTTATATAAAAAAAAAAGAGTGATTTTCCAGAGGTAATTTATAAAAGTATATAATATTATGTTAGTTTTTTTGTTATTATTTTTTTGGTTTAAATTGCACGCATTTTTTCTATTAAAAAATCATTGTAAAGAAGCATTTTAATTGTTTTTAAACATTTATAAAAATATTATAATTATTATTTTAAAAATTTTTTTGAAATAACTTTTTCGCTCTACCTTGCCAATTTCAAGATAAGGATATATACCTTAATTAAGTGAGAAATGTTCGTATGGAAAGTGAATAAACATAAAATTTTAAGGATGATGTATCATTTTGATGATTGAACAATGCTTTGAAATAGTTAAAAAGAGGAGAAATTTAAAAAGATAAGGTATTATTATTTTGATAATTAAACCATTCCTTTTTGCCATGCTCTCAAGTATCACAAGAATGTGTTCAAGTAATTAAGGGCATTCCAAATATATAAATTTAAAATTGTATTACAAAATTTATGAATTGCTATAATTTTGGAGCAACAAAAAAATTTTTAGACTCTTACCTGACGTAAATCTAAAATTGCATTTACAAACAAAAATTCATCCAACATCTTCTGCATGAAAGATATCAGATACCTAATTACATTGCAATCCAATATCTCAAAAAACTTTAAAAGTACTTCAACATTTAGAATTGCAACAAGTACTTAGTTTAATACCTTACATTTCACTTATCAGTGTATGTAATGGGATAACGACACGTTGCTCTATTATGGCCTTTTTGGTCACATCTGCCACATTTATGCATTTTGGGAGTTTCACTTTCACCTGTAGATGTGATTTTTTTGCTCTGGCGCCGACCAACCTTTGCCACAAATTTGGGAGGTAAGACATTCATTTCCACATAGTCTGATGGCATCTTCCACTCCGAAGTAGGACCAACTGAAAAAATAGCATCTGCATATGCAGCCAACAGACATTCATTAGTATAGTAATGAGCGCATAAACTGTATACATCTATATTCTGCTTCCTTGCTGCAACAATTGCATGTGCACATGGTAGTTGGTTGAACTGAAACTCCATACAAGTGCACTCCCGAGTATTAAGGTTCACTGTCTCCTCTTTATCTACATCTACCACATGAAATTGATGACAATTAATTGAATTAACCTTCATTGTTGTAGATTGATCTTGGTTTTTGTGCACAATTTCTTCTGCCCATTTCGTCAACGTGGATGTAACTTTTGAGGCTTCATCACGACGCTCTGAAAACCACCTTTGTAACAAAGCTCTCACATGTTCGATTACTGAAACAACATGCAATTCTCTAGCTTCTTTCAATAGAGCATTCATGGATTCTGCTATATTTGTAGTCATCATATTGTAGCGTCTTCCTGGGCAATATATACGTGTCCAACGTGAAAGTCCAACTTCTTCTAAATACATTCCCACACCATTATCAAATGCTGAAATACGCTCCCACAACTCCCTAAATTGTGACTCACGATAGGCTTTTGCAGCATTGACAAACAAATAATCAATTGTTTCATTATTGAACTTAGCACTCAAATTTTGCTTCAAATGGTGAATGCAAAGACCATGAAATGCAGTGGGAAACACAATAGCAATAGACTTCGCTATGCTATTATTTCGATCTGAAACAAAAATTAGATCCTTAACTTCACCTATTGCACCCTTTAACTTTTCAAAAAACCATTTTATGGAGTCATCGGTCTCTTTATCTACAATTCCAAAGGCAATGGGATAAATCTGATTATTACCATCTAAGCAAGTGGCAACTATCAAGGTACCCCGATATTTGTTCTTCAAAACAGTTCCATCTATAACAATAACAGGTCGTATGCAATTCAAAAATCCTCGGATACATGGACCTAGAGCCATAAAAAGATATTTGAAGAAACTTCCATCTTCAAGTTGAATTTCATAAAATGTACCTGGATTTGCCAACTTCAATGCTTCACCATATCGATGCAATAGATTATATGACTCCTCCGATGATCCCTTTACTTGCATATAAACATTTTCTCTCGCACGCCATGCTTTCTCATAACTCATATTAATACCATAATCTTGTCTCATGTCTTCTATGATCTCCCGTGGTTTGTATTGACAACGAACTCCATTGAATTTAGATTTTATTAATTCTCCCACTACCCAAGCTTTAGCTTGTCTGTGATGACGATTCATAAGATCAAGTGAACATGAATGAACATTCACATACTTTGAAATCCTGAATATGTCTGAACCCCCCAATTTGAGTGCCCGTATTCTCCACTTACAATTTTCATCAACACATACAATATAAATTAACTCTTTTGTGGACTTCTTTACTCTAAATTCAAAATTTCTTTTCATTGCCATGACACTTAATTTCATGGACAAGTCTCTCTTGCCAAAAAATATTTGTCCAACATCAAATTCATCATTTGTAGAGCTTCCTTCCGACCAAACATTTTTTTTCATGTATTTCTTTTGGCCCACTGAGTCAGACTCATAATTGACTTTAAGTTTTCTTTTACGATCTACTTTAGGAACATGATCACATTCGGGCTCCACAGGAGCTTCACAATCTACATTTGCATTTCTTTCTCGTGAGATATCTTCCTTGTGGGACATCATACTATTATTTTGACTTTGACTTTCGACTTCAGTCAAATCTCTACTCCTAGGTTCAAATGAGATGTACAGGGGGACTTCAGACGTATCTTCACCCATAAGATAAAAATTCAAATCACGGTCATTGCTTATCTCAAATGGAGGAGTTTGATTCCTAGCTTTTATCTCATATATGCACTTGATTTTCATATCAGACTCTTTGGGGTCAGCTTCTGTGAGGGCATATAATTCATCCAATAAATCTTGGTAAGTTATTTCTTTACATACAACAATACCTTTCAAAAGACCTCCTTGATACTCTGTTTGTTTGTCATTCCATACTCCGCCATAACGAACGAAAATACGAACACGAGTCATTCTTAAACTACCTTGCAGAAATCATTCATTCCTAACAAAAAAAATATAAAGCAAAAATCAAGCTACCAACCAAAAAAACCGAACTCCAAATGTATTGAATAGCAACAAGATGTTCCAAATGGCAAATAATGTAAAAATGGCTTCTAGTAAAGAGAGAAAAAAAACAACCAAAATAAAAAAGAATGGAAAGTAAATAACTAGTTAAGTAAAAAAGAATGGAAAGTAAACAACTATTTAAGTTCTGTTTTTTTCCTCGCAATTTCTTGCAAAGCCAAACTTAGGCTACCAGCCAAAAAATTACATTCCCCACATTCAAATAGCTTCAAGTAAAGTAAAAGAGAGCCAAAGCACAAAAAACCTAAATTTTGCATTTTTTCCCGGCAATTTCTTGCCCTACCAACAATTTGTTCCCCAGTAAAGTAAAAGAGATCAATGTAAGAATCCTGTAACGTAAAGTAAAGTAAGTGACGAAGAAGAAGAAAAAGAAAGACAGTGACCTACCAATGAATAGGGAAGAAGAAGCCGAAGACGAAGAACCGCGAAGAATACGACGAAGTAAGCACGTGAAGAAGAACCACGATGAAGAATACGGCGAAGGTATGCACTGTGAACAACCGCTCGCCGGAGTTCGCCGCAGCTGAGGCGGAGATCGTGAGAGGTTTTAGGAAGCAGAGAGATTTTCGAGGTTGAAGCCCGAAGGAAAGAGGATCAAATCGTGGTGATGAGGGCTTTTATTTTAAAGGGCCAAAAATGACATTTCACCTCTGAAAAGTCACAATTGTCTTATTTTTTTGGGATCCAGCCATGACCTAGATTTCGAGTTGTCAATTGAGATATGTCTATTTTTCAAAAAAATTTATTATTCTAACCATTATAGAGAACAACGATACCAACATACTCCCATTTTGATTTAAGCCATTGTAAAATTGTTAGCGGTAACGGTAACGATAATGATAACGATAATGATAACGATAAAGATAATACCAACCATGATAGTGATAATAACAATAATGGTACCAATAATAACGGTAACAAGTATAGACAAACATATTTAAATTTTTTTTATTCCTTAGGTTGCTCTTAAAAAAAAATTCTTCAAAATTTTTTTTTCCTAATTATGATTCCTTATTTTTCCTTTCAACTTTTTTCAAACAGGATTATTTATTTGTCTTCCAATTTTATTTCTATCTTTAAAATATTTAGCAAATTTCGAAGAAGACGGTTACGTTGCTGGTCAGATGTGAGACCCACCGTCAAGAAGAATATCACTGGAAGATAAAGGAAGAGAGCGAGAGACAAGGGAGAGAGGGAACCAGAGAGAGACGAGGGAGCGAGAGGGGGAGAGAATTTGGACGTCTAATTTAATTTAATTACTTCACAATCTATTTATATAAATATAATGATTAAATTTCCTAAATTATTGAATAAATATTTAAGTGAGTAATTTCAAATATTTTAAAATAAAATGTGTGTTTATCTTATTTATCTAAATGATTATTAATAAAATTTGATTAATTTAAATGAAATCAAAAATAAAACTAAAGATTCTTTAATTGCAAGAGAGTATCGAGATTTGAAAATCGAAATCGCTTCTGATGAGATTTTTTTATGAAAATTAAAAAGGAAAAACTCAAGCTATAAGAAAGTAGAAGATTCTGTATACCGAGAGAAAAGTGATGGGAACAACAATGAAGAATTACACTTGATACGGTGGATTAGTTGAAGAATATCTTACCAGATCAAACTACATTAAGAATGGAAAAACTGAGAAGTTCTTCTTCTTGAACAAAGAATGTGTGGGGTTCTTCGCTATTATTAGTGTTTTTTTACCAAAAAAAAAAAAGAAATAAAGAAAGGTAAATTTGTAATGATTTGATTTATTTTTTGTTTTCTGGTATTCAGTTATTAACTTTATGCCTTCTGAATTATTGATATTAATATTTACCTAGTGATATTTTTTAATCTTTGCCCATTAATTTATTCTTCTTTCTTCTTTTGGTTTTTAGAAGGTAAAATTCATTTTTTTTTGTTTTCTTTGTTTAAAAAATTGAAAAAATTTGAGTATATAATAGTATATTTTACATTCTTGTAAATAATACGTATTCATTTATCCTTTATCTTCTCCTTTCAGGATTGTCTATATATTTAGACTTCAGTAACGAGAATAAGAACTATCTGGTTCTCTCAAACCTTAGTTTCTACAGTAGAAAAAATTGACTGTTATTGTGAAAATTATATTGCACTTGTTCCATTCTTCATTTGCTGAAAAGCTGCCTCTCATCGGAGACAAATATATACTTTTTAATATTTTGATAGGGGAGCTGGATATTCTTTTCATTTTAGTCCTTCTCCTTGGAGGTGGTGTCATTTGAAAATGTCAGCAAATTTTCTTTCTTCCAGAACTACCAGACTACCAGTGTTCTATATTTCACGTCAGGTCACAGAGTTGGAAAACTGTCCATTTATTATTCTGGCGTAATTAAAAAGTGGAGGGTTGGCAAAAGCGAAAGAAAAATAAAAGAGAGAATTATCAGCTAGAAATAGGATGTGCTGTTTGGGGAATATGTAAGAAAATATGATCATAAAGTGTTCTAGGGACAACAATACATTTCACACACAACACACAAAGTGAGTGTTTAAAGAGGGAGATCCTCTGCTTATTTTCACACTCAAACGCGGTTCAGATAGTAGTAATTGCACACTATCAGCAATAGTTACCAATACTGAGTAGACAAAGCTGCATCACACTTGGCTACTGATCATGGAGACGCTTCTTATACCTCTCAAAGCTCCAGGACTAGATCTATGATGCACATAATGAAAGTTAGTTAGAGTTGGTTCAAGAGTCAGGGCAGTCACACTTGTCTCTCTAATAATTGGTTAAATAATGCAGTGAACAAATAATATTATATTATAGCAGATAAAGGTAAAGGGATTAGCTACTGCTCATCGTTACTGTGCATCTTTTGTAAGATGAGCATAAATACTAAATCAGGACTACAATGAGTAGGAGTTTAGTCGTGTAATATAATAGTGTTAATTTGTAGCTTGCAGGTGCTGATATTGGTGTCTATGAGAACTATATGGGACTTCTAGGTGAAATGTTGGGAACTAGGAAATGGTGAGTCTGTTAACTTACAGTCTTCATCTGAATTAATCCAGCGTTCCTTGTTGTCATTTGGGTCAGAGCTGTTTAGTCCATAATGTGGTGGAAATTGATTTTTGATGCGTCGAAAGCTTGGTTTCGAGAGTGTTCTCTGAGGATAAATCATGATGTCCTCATCAGATGTCTGCTCTCCATTGTTGCAACAACCATCATGGCTTGCTTTCTTCTTTTTCTGAACCTTTTGGTGCTTATCAGACTTCTGTATGATTGTTGAGCTTTCAGGGTGAACTTTTCTGTGGAACATGTGAAAGATCTGCAAGACACATACCATGTGTTGAAGAAACTTACAATTTCTTATAGTTAGAAAAATAGTAAATTTCCAATTGGGCTCAGTAGTTTTCTAAGGTAAATAAGGTATCTGAAGCTTTAAATAATAAAAGAGTTGGAAAGGCAATTATTTGGTAAAGGCCGGACAGTAATTTTATCTGTTTAACTCAAGGTCAATACGAGGAATCAAATTGGCCGGAGCATCCTTAATATTCATGCCAATGATTGGGTTCTGAACAAATTTGTGTAAATCCTTATTCTTTGTGTTGAATGCTCCCGGGTACGATCTTATAGATCTCTGTTGATCACTCCACGGATATGTTCTTATTGATCTCTCTGATATGGTCTTCTAAAACATTGGAAAGCAAGGGTTAAGTTTAAAAATTATCATAGTTTGTGGCATACCTTATGCAGTTTTGTTTCTGCTGAAGCAGAATCATTGAATCCATCAACAGCTGCTGCAGAGCTCCGGGAAGAAGCAGACAACATTCTTTTCTTCAGTTTCTTTTTCATCAGGTGCATGGCAGATTTATCAATATCCTCTTCAGGTCGCTTGTCTTCCTTGTCAAATTTCGCACCTGCATTCTCCTCAGCTATTTTGCTCCTCTGAAACAGTTCGCCAAGGGAGGTCCTATTTTCCTTTTTTGCCACTGTTGTTGTCTCTGACAATTCAATGGCTGACCCAAAAAGATATCCCTGAAGGGGGCAGATGATGCTCCCATTCATATTGCTTTCTAGGCCATCCATTGGCTTGCCACTGAGGGTAATTGTGCTACCATGGCTGCTCCTTCCCATGCTGACGTGACTGTTTCTTCCAGAAGAATCATTGTATCCGTCATCCTTAGTTTCTGCTCCAAGAACCTTTTCCAACTCATCATTAATAAGCTTTAGTTCATTTTCAGTTACTTCAGTTTCTTTTTCAGTTATATTCTCGACGGAGATTGAGAACTTTGGTGTCATTGGGTCACTGATGACTTGATCGGATCCAAGAGTTCCAATTGCAAGGAAGCCATGGAAAATCTCAGACATTGGATGAGATGATTCATCTTCGTAGTCGTCTTCTCCTACTTCTGATTCTAGACCAGCGAAAGATTTTCGAAGGTGCTGTTCTCGTTGGACTTGCTTGAAAGGTTTAATGCTTGACTTCGAGATGTATTGCTGATCATCAAGCGATTGTTGGCCTAAAACAGTACAATTACAAGAATGACCCATAAAGATACATTTGAAGCAACTTTCTCTCTTTCAGGCTTACCTAGGAGTGTCTCTGTTGCAGTGTATCAACAGGAATTTCATGGTTTATTTGTAATTTCTGGTTATAACTCTATGTTTTCTTCTGTCAGTTAAATGCAATTGATTGATCAAAGAAATATAATTGGCAGATTACTTCCGCACAAGACTTGCATGTTTGAAATATATGCCAATGGCATGAATTTTCAAGTTAAAAAATCACCTATCAGACACTACAGATTCTATTCAGTAAGTCAGCATCTAGTGATGATGCATGCTCAACCTTACAGAGATATACTAGTGGAAAGTATTTACCAAGTGCAAAATCTTTGAGCGGTTCACCACTGTTCTGCCGAAACTTACGGTGCATCCAACCAAGTAGCTATGGGAAAAAGACATAATATCATTTAGCATTTAGATAGAAGCACTCTACAAGGTTTAATCCAGAATAAACTTTACCTTCATCTTTCTGGTTGTGCTTCAGAAACCTGAGTTTTGATGTCTTCAGTTTAGAGGGGTGATGAGAAAAAAGTATTTTCCATAGTTTAGCTCATTGCTTATTTATCAATAGAATGTCAAACTCTTACTGCATACCTCCAATAGTCTGAGATGATATAGGTAAAGGAAACATAGGGATAGTTACAAAAGAATTGGTTGGCTTATGCTAAGCCATTCAAGTGGCCGAATGGATAGTGGGTCCTGGAGCACCCTTCTGGAAGCTGTTCATTCTATCTGAGAAATGTGACTAGTTTTGATTTTTCGTACTTGGGTGGTGGTATCGACTCTCTCCAAACCTGAGGAAACATCTTCCATTCTTCAAAAAACATATTGTTACTGTTTAAAGATGTTTTTAAACATTCTCTTTTAGTTATATTTAATCAGTTTTAACTTTTTAAGTACCTTAATTTCTTTATGTTGTGTATATAGTTGTGCTTTCTACACAAACATGTTTTGCACATGCCTCCATGGGAAAATGATAGTTCATTCTTATAATTGTAACAACTTCACTATGATTTGGTGGGCAGAGCCCAAAATGACTGGTGGGGTCTCTGGAGAATATTGTGTTGGACCAAAATAGGTGCAAAGATAATTGAAAACGAAGTGGATCGTTTCTCATCAGGGGCACTACTGCATTAGCTGAC